ATGATGGTTGACACTCAGTAAGAAGATGACCTGTTATGCTTTACTTATTTCTTAATTTTTCCCTCCTTTTTTTGTGGTCTTCTCTTTTCTTCTTGCTAGTCTGCCCCTCTCTGCCTGTGAGTTCTGGCACTGTTACCCTGCAGCACATCTGGAAAGCATTCACAGCCTTATGATTTTGTCACACTACAGTCTTATTCCAAAATGGATGAATTCTACACACACTATCCAATAATGACAAAGTGAAATAAGTTTGCTTGAAATTTAGGGCTTGATTAATAATATAGCCTGATATCCTTCATCACCTGTACATGTTCCTGTCTGTCATCATCTCCAAATCTGGACCTGTATGCCTGCATGGACAGTATACACATGGCTTTAAAGGACTGGGTTTATAGCTGAAGAAGAGAAATATCCATAGTGTTACAAAACATAATAAACTTACTGTTTGTTTTGTCTAAAGATTCGTCAGATTTTTCTCCATATGACAACTACAACATGGGACCAGCTCTGCAAAGCAAGTCTCATTTTACTATGGTGATGTTGGTCTCCATCTAGTGGTGTTTGCTGGTGGTGCAAAGACTATACTGCCATTTGTTTTTAAATTGAAGTTTATTCATCACAGTCAGTCTTTAGCAACAGAATGATCGTGGGAATGTACAGAATCATTTCTTTCACGAAGAAAAGTCATTGAACAGAGAACCTTAAAACGTAAAACCATAAACCAGAGCTCATGGAGGAGGTTCACGCAAAGTAGCAGGTAAAGATTAAAGCATTTCAGAACGTTGAGATTTTGTGTTGAAGGCACATAATCTGAAGAACAGTACACAGTTCAAAGAAAATTCAGAATTATTAAGGACAACAAAAGTCAGGTTTCTTCAACAGAAATAGAACAAAGAAACTGCATTAAAACCATACATTCCCATGTCCTGGAAACAGTACAAGCCACATTTGAGACACTACAGGAACCTATCAGCTAGTCTGCTGACTGCTGACTCTATGGATCATGGCTTTCTAGCAACAGACTCAGTATTTCCTGGGAGATTGTTTTTCCATCCTGTCTGTCAGAGAAGCCAGGGTCAAAGGTTACAACTGAAAGAAAGCTAAAGATTTTTTCTAGATAACCAAAGATTACATCTAAGCAACACTTTCATTTAAGGGAATAACACAGCTGCAGTTATGCCTTCACTGTTCCATTAACCTGCACATTCACACTCTTACAGTTTACTTCACAGCCTGGACTGTAGCAACTGTGTTGCATTCAGCCTGTGTTATACTTTTACACTCATCATATCTATTTTTAATTATTCCTTGTTTTTCTTGTTCAAAATTAGCAGTTTAGGAAGTGTGCGTGTTGTAAGTAGTTGTCAACAGCAGAAAAATGAGGCCGAAGCTGAAGTGGCAAAAATTGCAGTTCAGGCTGGCTACAAAAGGAAGTCAATCCCCATCAGGGGGCAGTGATGACTTACAGGTGTCCTTACACAGGCAGCTCATGCTCATCTGACTCATCTGCTACTTCGGGTCATTAA